TATACATATATGTACATACATTAATAGTGTTTATATGTATTATTATATTTATATAACAGTGTTGTGAATCGAAAAGATCAATAAGCTAAATTATGAAAATAAGTGAATAAAACTGTTTTTTTCTGAAAAATTGACTAAATTTAAGTATACTTAATAAATTTTCAAATTTGACTTTTTCGAAAATGAAACCATAAATGAAAAAGTTTTATTCTTTCTTCTCGACTCGTGTTTGTATGATCTCCCAATGATCTTGATATTTTTTGAAAGAAAATTTGTAAAAGAAAGTCTAGTTATCAGTAGATTGGATTATGCAAATTTATATTTTCGAGAATATAATTAAAACAGTATAGAAAATTATTTTACCAAATATTATATTTAGATATTTGATATATTTTTGCATCTAAAAATCTCCTATAAATTTATAGAACACTGCACTTTAGCTTTCAGATGGTTGAATCGATGAAAATTTGGAAATTACTTGCCCAGATGGAAAATGTTTACAAATAATTAACATTACCGTTTTGTGAACTTTAATTTTATTAAAATTTAATTTTCAGTTTCAGTTTCAATTTCAGTCAAAATTTAATTGCTTAAAAAAATTTTACAAAAATTTTCTAAATAAATTTCTTCTTTTTTGAAGATGCAAATATTAATAATATGAATATGTAATTTAAATTGCAAATGAATATCAGATATATATAATTTCAGAAACAATATTTTGTTTCATATTATCATCTCTTCCCTTGTGCAGTGAGTTATATTTAAATATAATTAATTTTTTATATTTATTAGAGCATGCATGTTTCTCGGAGCGCATACGATTTAATATGGTATAAACAAACGCTAAACATGCAAAAGAATCTACTAAACGTGCTGTCATATCAAAAACCTGTTACTTTTTCCATCAGTTTCATAGTTCCAGATCTTTCTTTGCGTTATTATTGCTCAGTAAGGCAAATTATTATCGGAACGTCGATTGAAACGAATTGCAGCAATAAGAGACAGCTTTATTTGTTTCTTTTCTTTTTAAACTCAAATGAAACTCAAATGCAGAATTACAAAAGGCTCAACATGAAAGTTTACATAAAATGT